GATCTGTATCGATCTCAGGGGGTGCCCGGTCCGAGGTTGGGGGGGGGGGGAGGCAGGCTGCCCCGCTTGCCCCCTCCCCCGTGGCGACGCTAATGCATTTGATCATCACGCACAGCGCTGCCTGCCCTGCGCTGATCGCGCTGATCATTACGAATTCGATGCCTCAACACTAGATTATAGATATAAATACCCCGGAGTCGCTGCCGCCCGGTACCTAGGTATATCTGGACCGGCCGGTGAGCCCGAAGTCACCGCGTCGCCTGGTCACTGCGGGCTCCCTGATGCAGGTCGGACATCGGCGCGGTGACAGCCGAGGCGCCACCGTCTCAAACACGCCGGATTAGCGTCCCCGCGGCCGGCGGACGGACAGACAGGACAAAGGCGCCGGGTGGGAAAACCGCCGGCCGTCCCCCGACTGCAGCGCGGCCGGCCGGGCGCGCCGGCTCTCCCGTGGTCGCGGCTCTGCGCTCTGCCGCGTCCGAGCAGCTAATTCCGACACCATCGCCCAGGTCGGTCCGACACACCGGTCCGACAGGGCGGCCAGACACATCACCCGACACACCACGTGACCACGGCCCGACATATCACCCGACACACCGCGGCCCGACATATCACCCGACACACCACGGTCCGACAGGGCGGCCAGACACACCACCCGACACACCGCGGCCCGACACATCACCCGACACACCGCGGCCCGACACATCACCCGACACACCACGGCCCGACACATCACCCGACACACCACGGCCCGACACATCACCCGACACACCACGGCCAGACACATCACCCGACACACCACGGTCCGACAGGGCGGCCAGACACACCACCCGACACACCGCGGCCCGACACATCACCCGACACACCACGGCCAGACACATCACCCGACACACCGCGGCCCGACATATCACCCGACACACCACGGCCCGACATATCACCCGACACACCACGGTCCGACAGGGCGGCCAGACACATCACCCGACACACCACGGCCAGACACATCACCCGACACACCGCGGCCAGACACATCACCCGACACACCACGGCCCGACATATCACCCGACACACCGCGGCCCGACAGCCCGGTCCGACACTTCACCCGACACACCACGGCCCGACATATCAACCGACACACCGCGGCCCGACATATCACCCGACACACCGCGGCCCGACAGCCCGGCCCGACAGCCCGGTCCGACACTTCACCCGACAACTCAGCGCGGCTGTACCGGTCCGACAGGCCGGCCAGACACCCCGGTCCGACAGGTCGCCCCAACAGCCCGGTCCGAGAGGTCGCCCCAACAGCCCGGTCCGCCGACACCTCAGCCGACAGCGCGGTGCGGCTTTGTCACTTCTGACCGGCGTCATGTCGCGTTTCATGCTCGGTGGGCTCCGGCTGGTCGGTGGACCACTTTTTGGACGGCGAGTTTCCGGGATGTGCCCGGGCGGCGCCGCCGCCCAGACACCCGTCCCGTCCCAGGAAGATGGAAAGGTTTCAGACGAACTGGAATCCAGTCGGATGGCCTGCACGCGCCTCTAAGCCGTGACTTTTCGGTGACATTCTGTGGTATGCCATTTGGTGGCATCAAAAATGCACGGTGAAGATAATACTAGGAGACCGATCCCAGCCTACTTTAAGCTACCTATAGAGTCTGGCGTGCAGTCGGGACTCGGGAGTACGACTGACCGCGTCGGCTGGTTGGTAGACCAGTCACATTGCACGATACAGGGAGCTAGAGTTCCATGGGGGTGCCCGCCACTCCGTCCGTTGTCGGTGGGATCATCAGGGGCTTCACCGTCGGTTTTTGCTCCGACGCCCCCCCCCCCCCCCAGCGCCGACGGCCCCCCCCCCCCAGCGCCGCCGACGACCTCCCCTCCCCTCCGGCGCCGACGGCCGACTAAGTGCTGCCAATCGGAGCAGTCGGCGGCCCGCGGCGCCGCGCCGATTAGTTCAATGGCACTCTAATTGAGCCGGCAATGCGATAAGAGGGAGCCGCTGCCGATGGCGGGAGGCGCCGGCCGCCGCTCACTGCTCCCCGGCCGCCGCTCACTGCAGCTCCCCGGCCGCCACTCACTGCATGCTCCCGGCCGCTGCTCCCCGGCCGCCGCTCACTGCTCCCGCCTGCCCGGCCGCCGCTCACTGCTCCCCGGCCGCCGCTCACTGCATGCTCCCGGCCGCCGCTCACTGCTCCCCGGCCGCCGCTCACTGCATGCTCCCCGGCCGCCACTCACTGCAGCTGAGCTACCCGGCCGCCGACGGACGAGCTTCGGCAGCGTTACGCGCTGGAACGGTGCACGGCATAGGCAGAGTCTTCTGCCGAGTATCTTAGCATCCCTTACATTTCGATCCTGTCGGGAGGCTGTGGCGGCTACCGATTAACTGTCGGCAGTGCCCGGCCCGGCCCGGCCCGACCGGTGCGGCTGCGAGCTGCGACAATCGTAAATCAGTGTGCAGCGACAGTGACCAGCCGACCGGCGACTGTGTGCAGACTCGGTCCGACCGGCCACCCTGGCCTGTCGGCGCGGCGCCTCAGAGGCGCGGCGAGGCTCGACAGCAGACCCGGCATTGACACTGGTCCATCAACTATCTGACCAGACACCGGCCCGCTGACCTGCCTGACACCGGCCCTCTGACCCGACACTGGCCCGCTGAGCTGACACCGACCCTACGTACGACCCGCCCGCCCAGCCGACACCGCCCGCTCGCAGTGCCGACATCTGCCCGCTGAGATGGCGCCCGTCGAGCGCTCTAATATTTTGTCCAAACCGCCGCCTTATCGAAATCCGGCCTACGACACGCCGATAATGGGGCGGCTCGGGAGGGCGGTCGAGACTTGTCTCGGTGCTGAGGACCGCCGGCCGTAAAACAGATATCCGGTCAGGACACCGGTGCGGCACCGGCGGTGGCACACACCGGCACCGGCCGCCGCGGCAGGGGCCGCCGCCGAGGGGCCTGTCCGCGCCTCGGTGTGTTGTGTAGGTGATATTATGGTAAGTCGTAATGCAGCTTGACGCCTACGCAGGACGCACCAACAGCCGGTTGACCAACGTCCAACGAAGCTCAGTTTCCGCCGAACAGGTGCACGGACTCGCCCGTTATCGCAGGCACAGTCCAGCCACAGTGGCCAGCGCGAATGCCCACTGTAGACTGGGGCGATCCGAGCGGTGTTTCCTTGCGATCAGATTTATACTGCACCGTTCCCTCGACTGCCAATTGTGCGGTGTCCCGCGACAGAGGAGGGACGCCCGGGACACCGCCGAGTCTCCCTTGCTGCCACGAGCCGAGGGGAGGGGGAAACCAGTGGCTGTTGAAGCCGACACGACGCCTTGAAAAACGCGACTGCCGCCACCGCGGCTGCGATGACGGATCCACTGACAGAACCGAGCCGCGGGCCGGGAGCCAGCCACAGACAGCGCGGGGGGATGCTGTCAGGGGCGGAGAGCAGGGTATATAGAACAACGCGGAGAGTGCGGTGGCCACAGGGGGCGGAGGGTGACTCTCCGACTCTGACCGAGTGTCTGTGGAATCGGCAGCAGCTTCTCTGCTATTCGTGGCACGGATGGGCTGCGAAGCTCGCCTGTGTTTAGTGGACCACCCTAGCTGACGGCGAGGTGGGCTCGGGTCCGCGGTGACACGGCCGTCGGCGGGCTCGGCGGGGGAGGGGACGCCAGCCGCGAGCTACCGGTGTGTGCCGTGTGGACACCGAGACGGTGACCGAGAAACCTCCACCTCGGTGGGCTCCGTCCGCGGTGCAGTGAGCTGACGGCGGTGGGTGTCCGTCCGTCCCGGCCCGGTGGGCGTCCTCTGGTCTCAGCGGCCCGGTGGGCGTCCTCTGGTCTCAGAGGGCCGGCCGGCCGCCGGGTGACGGATCGGCCCCGGCTGACTCACGCCGCGGCTCTGTGAGGCGTCACCCCTGACCGGACTGACAGGGACATAAACAGACCAGTGACGACAGGTCGGCCGGCCCCACCACACGGCGGGTCACAGCGGCTCCGCGGCGGCCCGTCACCTAGCTCTGGTCACGGTACACTGCCGGACCCGCGCCTCTCACAGTCAGGACCGGGGAGGACCGCCCACCGCGGACCACGGACCAGGTAGGAGCGCCCACCCGCGGACCACGGACCAGGCAGGACAGCCACCATCAGAACACGGGTCAGACAGGACCGCCCTACCGCCGACCAGGGATCAGGTGTTCAACTCGGTCTCAACAAGGTGTCACACATGGCGTCCGACGAGGTGTCAATAACTCAATTTCGAATACCTAATTTCCGTTCCAGCCCACTTTCGGAGCGAACTTTGCGAAGCTCCTGGCCGTCCTTTCAGCGCCCCCTCCCCGATCCTCGTAAATGAGCGAGTCACCGCCGCGAGACGCTCGCATCAAACATCGAGTCACCCCGACCCGTCACAATGGGTATCACAGTCACTTCTTTAGTCGCAGAAGTAAAATAAACTTAACCCTAAAACACCTCAAAGCAGTTATCATATTCCAGACCGGTTTCGGTAATGGAATGTCATAACTGCCTTGAACTGTTTTTTTTTGTGGAATTTATTTTACTTCTACGACCAAAACATGAACGATAATATCACTTCTTTAGGTATTATGTCTAAAGTGCACGGTTAAATGAGCGTCCACCGTTCATAACACATCTGAATGTTCATCGTTTGACACTTCTGAGTTCTGAATGTCCACCGTTTCACGTTTGACACGTCTGAACGACGAACGTCCACCGTTTGACACGTCTGAACGTCCACCGTTTGACACGTCGTCTTGGCCTAAGCCGTTTGGGACGGCTGAACGTCCACCGTTTGGCACGTCTCAGTCCGAACGTCCGCCGTTTGTCACGTCTGCTGGCCGTCCGTCGTCGATAGCGGAAGTCCGTCGTCCACCATTATAAAGTCTGTCCACTGTTTGTTGTGTTTGTGGATCATTTGTGGGGACTATGCATGACGCCCATTATAATTACACAGTGGCCTCGGACCGGCAGTCTCCGTCTCTTACCTGACCAATGAATGCTACGGACTGGCACCGGCTCCGACACGCCCCTGCAGCACCGGTGTTCTGTGTATGCCGCTGGCAGCACCCGATCGGTCACCGCCGCGGTCCGCGCACTCCGCACTAGTCCTCCGCGGTCCGCGAGCCTCCGTCCGCCTCGACACCCGTCCGCCGGCCCACGCCGTCCGACAGCGACTGCCGGCGGCGGCGGCCTGAACCGGAGACTGCCCGCCGCCGCCGACCGCCCCGGCACGCTCCGCCGAACGACCCTTGGAGCGACCCGACCCCTCAGCCACCGACGGACGGCAGGTCAGGGTGCGGGAACGACACGGAGGGAGCGGACTGAAAGAAAAGGATGGCGATGTCAGGAATGAAGACATTTCTTCTATCGAGTATCGAGTAGGCTATGTTGGCTGAATAACTGATAAGTTTCACATTATTGTTTCCTTCTTCCAATGGCTGCTCCATGAAAAAGCAAGAAAAGCATAGGGTGAATAGGTCAAAAACGCCCCCATTAAGCGCGAAACCTTCTGACACTCAACCCAACCCAAATTACTCAAACCTTTGGGCACCATCATGTAGCTCATTCTTTTTACTACGCTTTGAGACCAAGAAAAGACTTTTGCGTGTGGTATTTAACCCCCCAAAAAGGTTTCCGCATACCCTTACAAAAGGGCGTTTTGCCCCACACCCTGGGTAATACGCCCACACCCATGTGCAAAGCGCCCCCACCCCATCCATCAACAGAAAATGATGAACATGGCAGAACTTGACGTCATTCTGACGTCATTTGTGGTCAACCTATCATAGCCTTTGGTATAAAATGTTGTTGCAATGTGTAAAATGGATGCCCGGAGGAGTCCTGAAAGTTTGCTGACGATATCTACAGTCGTTTAGGATATATCAGCAAAAAAGGACAGGGAGAGGCCTTTTCGGCCCCGACCTACACGGCGCTACCCTGCACTCTCACCACCGTGCAAAACGCCCCCTTTCAGAAAACTGGGGGGCGTCTTGCCCCATGCATCGAGTAGGCGTCTTTCCCCATCCACTCCATTTCCGGTCAACAAAATATTGACAAAAAACGCGCCACTAACACCGCAGCATAATAAGTTCAACAGAATGACAATAAAACGCAGTTTTGAGTGATGTACACAATAGCAAGTTTTGTGATATAAAGAGGGCATCAAAAGCTTAGGAATCTTCTGTAAAAACAACAAAAACAGCACCCAAAACCAACATCAGCACCTACCCACGCTGCTCCTCAAGACGCAGAACCGGAAATAGAGAACTACGTAAACAAGCAGCTGACTGTTCTGAAAGCCAGGATAAAACACCTATCCGTCGATAAGATCTACGATTTTTTTAGGGGAGGCGTTTAACCCAGGGGTGCGTTTTCCCCACAGTTACCCTATCATATAATAACATTTGTGATAAGGCGACTGCCGGTACTCGTGAACCGCATAACATTCAACACGAATCAGTGACACACTGTACAGCTGACACCTACAGTAGGGTGGCACTTAAAAATCAATTTTTGATTGTTAATGCGTGCGGGTGGTTTTCCGGTTCCATTCCCGTAAAAAATAAGGGAGGCAAATTTTTATGGGAAAATATTGATGTTTAGAGGTCGCGAATCATGTCCGTGAAGTTAGCGTCAGCAACAGCAACGAATACAGCGTCGGATTCAGAATCGCTTAAAAAACTCATATTAGGTCAATTGGGGGACGGGGAGCAAGAATATGACCTTTATTTGGCCCTAGCTCTTACCCCTTACCCCTTAATCGGCCCTTAAAGGAAGGGGCGCGGCAAAACGCCCTCAAGGGTTCGTCTGATCGCCAAAATAAGGGTCGCAATCGATTCCCCGGGTCAATATCTAGCCGCAGCCTCGGGTTCCAGATGTGTGCAACTTACCCCTTACCCCTTAATCGGCCCTTAAAGGACGGGGCGCGTCAAAAGTGCCTCAAGGGTTCGTCTGATCGCCAAAATAAGGGTCGCAATCGATTCCTCGGGTCAATATCTAGCCGCAGCCTCGGGTTCCAGATGTGTGCAACTTACCCCTTACCCCTTAATCGGCCCTTAAAGGAAGGGGCGCGTCAAAAGTGCCTCAAGGGTTCGTCTGATCGCCAAAATAAGGGTCGCAATCGATTCCCCGGGTCAATATCTAGCCGCAGCCTCGGGTTCCAGATGTGTGCAACTTACCCCTTACCCCTTAATCGGCCCTTAAAGGACGGGGCGCGTCAAAAGTGCCTCAAGGGTTCGTCTGATCGCCAAAATAAGGGTCGCAATCGATTCCTCGGGTCAATATCTAGCCGCAGCCTTGGGTTCCAGATGTGTGCAACTTACCCCTTACCCCTTAATCGGCCCTTAAAGGAAGGGGCGCGTCAAAAGTGCCTCAAGGGTTCGTCTGATCGCCAAAATAAGGGTCGCAATCGATTCCCCGGGTCAATATCTAGCCGCAGCCTCGGGTTCCAGATGTGTGCAACTTACCCCTTACCCCTTAATCGGCCCTTAAAGGAAGGGGCGCGTCAAAAGTGCCTCAAGGGTTCGTCTGATCGCCAAAACAAGGGTCGCAATCGATTACCCGGGTCAATATCTAGCCGCAGCCTCGGGTTCCAGATGTGTGCAACTTACCCCTTACCCCTTAATCGGCCCTTTAAGGACGGGGCGCGTCAAAAGTGCCTCAAGGGTTCGTCTGATCGCCAAAATAAGGGTCGCAATCGATTCCTCGGGTCAATATCTAGCCGCAGCCTCGGGTTCCAGATGTGTGCAACTTACCCCTTACCCCTTAATCGGCCCTTAAAGGAAGAGCGCGTCAAAAGTGCCTCAAGGGTTCGTCTGATCGCCAAAATAAGGGTCGCAATCGATTCCCCGGGTCAATATCTAGCCGCAGTCTCGGGTTCCAGATGTGTGCAACTTACCCCTTACCCCTTAATCGGCCCTTAAAGGACGGGGCGCGTCAAAAGTGCCTCAAGGGTTCGTCTGATCGCCAAAATAAGGGTCGCAATCGATTACTCGGGTCAATATCTAGCCGCAGCCTCGGGTTCCAGATGTGTGCAACTTACCCCTTACCCCTTAATCGGCCCTTAAAGGAAGGGGAGCGTCAAAAATGCCTCAAGGGTTCGTCTGATCGTCAAAATAAGGGTCGCAATCAATTCCCCGGGTCAATATCTAACCGCAGCCTTGGGTTCCAGATGTGTGCAACTTACCCCTTAATCGGCCCTTAAAGGACGGGGCGCGTCAAAAGTGCCTCAAGGGTTTGTCTGATCGCCAAAATAAGGGTCGCAATCGATTCCTCGGGTCAATATCTAGCCGCAGCCTCGGGTTCCAGATGTGTGCAACTTACCCCTTACCCCTTACTCGGCCCTTAAAGGAAGGGGCGCGTCAAAAGTGCCTCAAGGGTTCGTCTGATCGCCAAAATAAGGGTCGCAATCGATTCCCCGGGTCAATATCTAGCCGCAACCTCGGGTTCAAGATGTGTGCAACTTACCCCTTATCCCTTAATCGGCCCTTAAAGGACGGGGCGCGTCAAAAGTGCCTCAAGGGTTCGTCTGATCGCCAAAATAAGGGTCGCAATCGATTCCCCGGGTCAATATCTAGCCGCAGCCTTGGGTTCCAGATGTGTGCAACTTACCCCTTACCCCTTAATTGGCCCTTAAAGGACGGGGCGCGTCAAAAGTGCCTCAAGGGTTCGTCTGATCGCCAAAATAAGGGTTGCAATCGATTCCTCGGGTCAATATCTAGCCGCAGCCTCGGGTTCTAGATGTGTGCAACTTACCCCTTACCCCTTAATCGGCCCTTAAACGACGGGGCGCGTCAAAAGTGCCTCAAGGGTTCGTCTGATCGCCAAAATAAGGGTCGCAATCGATTCCCCGGGTCAATATCTAGCCGCAGCCTCGGGTTCCAGATGTGTGCAACTTACCCCTTACCCCTTAATCGGCCCTTAAAGGAAGGGGCGCGTCAAAAGTGCCTCAAGGGTTCGTAAGTTGCACACATCTGGAACCCGAGGCTGCGGCTAGATATTGACCCGGGGAATCGATTGCGACCCTTATTTTGGCGATCAGACGAACCCTTGAGGCACTTTTGACGCGCCCCTTCCTTTAAGGGCCGATTAAGGGGTAAGGGGTAAGTTGCACACATTTGGAACCCGAGGCTGCGGCTAGATATTGACCCGGGGAATCGATTGCGATCCTTATTTTGGCGATCAGACGAACCCTTGAGGCACTTTTGACGCGCCCCTTCCTTTAAGGGCCGATTAAGGGGTAAGGGGTAAGTTGCACACATCTGGAACCCGAGGCTGCGGCTAGATATTGACCCGAGGAATCGATTGCGACCCTTATTTTGGCGATCAGACGAACCCTTGAGGCACTTTTGACGCGCCCCGTCCTTTAAGGGCCGATTAAGGGGTAAGAGGTAAGTTGCACACATCTGGAACCCGAGGCTGCGGCTAGATATGGACCCGAGGAATCGATTGCGACCCTTATTTTGGCGATCAGACAAACCCTTGAGGCACTTTTGACGCGTCCCGTCCTTTAAGGGCCGATTAAGGGGTAAGGGGTAAGTTGCACACATCTGGAACCCGAGGCTGCGGCTAGATATTGACCCGGGGAATCGATTGCAACCCTTATTTTGGCGATCAGACGAACCCTTGAGGCACTTTTGACGCGCCCCTTCCTTCAAGGGCCGATTAAGGGGTAAGGGGTAAGTTGCACACATCTGGAACCCGAGGCTGCGGCTAGATATTGACCCGAGGAATCGATTGCGACCCTTATTTTGGCGATCAGATGAACCCTTGAGGCACTTTTGACGCGCCCCGTCCTTTAAGGGCCGATTAAGGGTTAAGGGGTAAGTTGCACTCATCTGGAACCCGAGGCTGCGGCTAGATATTGTCCCGGGGAATCGATTGCGACCCTTATTTTGGCGATCAGACGAACCCTTGAGGCACTTTTGACGCGCCCCTTCCTTTAAGGGCCGATTAAGGGGTAAGGGGTAAGTTGCACACATCTGGAACCCGAGGCTGCGGCTAGATATTGACCCGGGGACTCGATTGCGACCCTTATTTTGGCGATCAGACGATTCCTTGAGGCACTTTTGACGCGCCCCGTCCTTTAAGGGCCGATTAAGGGGTAAGGGGTAAGTTGCACACA